CTGCTATATATTATTGCTGCAAAAGCACCACCTACATTGACTACAGTGCATATAGCGGTAAGTAGCAGTACTCTAGTCAGCAGCTCTAAGGAAGGTGCACGATGGTCAGATTTGGGCCCAAAAGTCCCACTCCGCTACTATGGAAATCGAATCCCCCGAACCCGCGAATCTTGTCCGATATGACGTCATTCGAATAGAGCGGACGTTCGATCTGGGGTTACCCGCGGTCATTTACAGTAAAGCCGCTACAACCGGCTACTTCAAGCCCTTTTTTACTTGGGAACCACGGAACAGGAAAAATCCACCTTTCCACAAATATGAACCTATTTTTAAAACATTACATCTATATCGTGATTTTATTGTGGTTATGTAACATGTAACGAAGCTACTGCCGTCATCGTGGGTGACCTTGAAGGTCAGAATTCTTGTTTACGCTGTTATAAAATCCAGGTCCCCATATCCAAGTGGCACAGCATGCGTACAACATGGTATTTTAACCATTCCCAAAATTCGCTCAAATTACCTCATTGAGGGCTTGTTTGGAAGAGGAACGATTTCCGCAGATTTCTGTCTTAGGGATTTTTTAAATATGGCCGCGATTATGAATTATCGGTATTTAAAGTTAAAACACGGCGTTTTTAGCTCTTCTTTTGACTGTAAGTCGAGTTTTAGTTAAAAAATAAAAAAAATCCTAAGACAGAAAGTTTAAATTTACTGTAATATTTCTAAAAATCAAAAAATCTAACCTTATTTTTAATTATCGGGGCCTCTTAAAATCAGTTGTTTGGTTCTCGTGAACCCTTTTTGAAATCCGAAATTGATCTAATTTGGAAGCAAATGTACACAAAGTGGAGCAAAGGCAGTGCAAGAATAACATTTGAGGTAAACAAAATCACTTATTACATTTTATTTTGACGAGTATTTACTCTCCAATTACTTTTGTTTATTTTCAAATTTTACCCGTTGCCCCCGGGCCGGCCCGGGACTCCCGCGCGGCCACGTTCGAACGCGTTCTGTAACCCGATACCTCCCTAGTAATGCGACTTTTAGCCTAGCAACCGACCGCCGTGGTAACTGTCTAGTAGTAAGGCATACACAAAAATGTAAGGGATAAAGATCAGAGGAATAAACTTTTTTTGTATGAAACATGAGAGGAAATATTATGTAAACATGCATTTGTCATATGGTGGTTAAGGATGCACCATGTGGCGAGGAATGATAGTTACAGTTTCGGTATATGAGCTAGTCACCACCAACTCTCTACATGGTCCCATAGCGACACCCCACGGGCCTTTAATTTCCACGATAGTGCGGACAAACTCGCCAGTGGATGTGAACATGTCTACCCGGTGGTTTTCACGATTTGCCACGATGATGTGACCAGAGGAGTCCAGACAAATACCTTGAGGAGAATCCAGTTGGCCCTTAGCCTTTCCATATGTGCCAAATTGAAATATCTTTACTCCGGATTGAGTGTACTTCAGGACGGTTTCATCCCCATTCGTCAGCAGGATATTTCCCTCCTTATCCGAAATGACTCCTCCGATCCCGTGATCCGTACGCACTTTTGAACTCGAACCGTTTGGATCAAACATAGTAATTCTAGATCCGTCTCCCACGATAACTTTATTGTTGCGCACGTCCATCGCAATGACGTGATGGAAGACAGACCAGAGGCTTACGTCAAACTTTTTAATGGGCTGTCCGTTCTTACTGTACTGTACAACATGTCCTTCATAGCCAACTTTGGACCACCATTTTTCGTAATGCCCCCTCCCCAGTACCCACAGGTAGCCAGGCCCCACGTCCAAAGTAACACTAAAAGGAAACATCGCCATACTTTCACCCGGCACAACGGTTGGAAAGAGGCGGAGGTAGGTCCCATTCATGCTGAAGACCTGGACTCGTTTGTTGTCACGATCAGTCACAAATATCTCATTGTCAGCAGACACGGCAACTCCGAATCCGTAGCCTTTTATCCGGAATTTTCCAGGTTCTTTTCCCTGCCCACCAAACGTGATCTTCTCCGGCTTTACGTCACCACCTTTTGCCATTAGTGATAAAAAAGTATATTCCAAACTAAAATTTAAAACATTTACATTTACACACGCCACACACACACACACACACACACACACACACACACACAGTCACACACTGTGACATTGTCTAATGGCACAGAGGGACCCAGTTTAAGACATTGTCTAATGGCACAGGGGGGGGCAAGTTTAAGACATTGTCTAATGACACAGAGTGACCAAGTTAAGACATTGTCTAATGACACAGAGGAACAAAGTTTCAGGCATTGTTTAATGTCACAGAGGGGCCAAGTATAAGACAGTGTCTAATGACACATAGGGACCAAGTTTAGACATTGTCTAATGACACAGAGGAACAAAGTTTCAGGCATTGTTTAATGTCACAGAGGGGCCAAGTATAAGACAGTGTCTAATGACAAATAGGGACCAAGTTTAGACATTGTCTAATGTCACAGAGGGATCAAGTCTAAATCCTTCCCTTATGCCACATAGAAGCAAAGTCTTTAAAACATTGTCTAATAACACAGAGGTACCAAAGTTTAAAACATTGTCAAATGACACAGAGGGACCAAGTCTCTTAAACTCACCTGTGTGATGTGGGGTGTTGGAGATTGCCTGGAGCTTTGGAATAGAACAACAGACATCCAGTAGTAGCAGTAGCAGCAGTAGTAATAGCAGTAGTAGTGACAGTGGAAGTAACAGTAGTACCAGTTGTAGTAGTAGCAGTAGTAGTAGTGGAAGTAGTAGCAGTAGTAGTAGTTATTGTTGTTGTTGTATCCGCAGTCGTTGTCTGCTGTTAATAGAGTATTAAATTATCATTGCAGGCTATCGCAATTGGTTAATGGAAATCATGTTGAATTATCTGAACCTTCGCCGCAGCTCGCGTATAAAGGAACACGATTATCTCCAAATTACAAAATTACAAAGAAAATTCATACCGGAATTCCAGTTCAATTCCGGACTTATTCTTACATCCCAGCAACCTTACATGTATAATATTGGTAAAACCATAGGAAAAAAGGTGTTAAAATATTGCAGAATTCTTAAAACTGGAGCCAGAATTCTACTAAATTGGGTTAATCCCCCAGGGGTCTTGGATGGCTGCTACATACATGTATTTCTAACATCATTTTTACCTGATGTGATGGGGTAAAGCATAGAATAGTTTTAAAGATGCCCCATAAGGCAGAGCGTGGGTGCGTAGATCAGGCAGTCGGGGTCCAGGCTTGACACAGGAAGGTCCGGTTGGCATGTGTACTAGGGTAGGAGTTTTGCATGAAACTGAGTTATTGGAGTTCACCCCGGCTCATTTCATAATCCCATCTAGACGTAAGGTTGCTGAGATATGGGAATTAGTCTGGAATTAAACTGGAATTCCGGTATTAAACTGGAGGATGTTTCAGGAAGTGGTGGACAAAGACCGACAAGGCTATTGGACAGAGGCGTACCTGTGGTTCACTGGTGCTAAAGTATAACCAGAGGGAGATCCCGCTGACGATGCACAAGCCAAGGACGGCAGCCGTTTTTACCGCTAGGTAGACCCGGTGGTGACGCGTACATCCTGAAATATTGCAGATTACAATTACTAGAAGATTCTTCCAACAGTGACAAGTTTGAAGGGTAGAGATACTGACCTCCAAACATTCGATGACTATCAGTCCATCTTGTTCACGAAGTGGCCT